CGGGGGGGGGACCGGGGCAGATCCTGGGGCTGTGCCTGGGACAGGGCTCCGCGGAGTTTCCCTGGCGAGCCTGGGAGTGCAGCGACCTCCGCTTTGTTCCGGGGGGCGGAGGGGAGGTGCCGAGGGACCCGAGCTGCCCTTCAGCCCCCCGGCACGGGCAGGAAGGGAAACGGAGAAAACTCATCGCCATCACTTACAAAGGAAAACGATTTCTGGGCTCCCTCCCGCTACCGCTAAGCTCAGCCAAGTGAGGTAGTTTAGAGGCCAGCGGGGATCTTCCCGGAGCGTCGGCGTACCGAGGAGGAGAGGGCCGCGCCTCCCCGACCTGCCGTGCCGGAACTCCCCCGCGAGGGTGGCCCCCGTCCCCCTGCGCCGGCGAGCGGGGCTCTGCGGCACGGCTCGGCTCGGCTCGGCTCGTCCCGGCTTAGCACAGCAAGCTCGGCTCGGCTCGACTCGGTACACCACAGCAAGCTCGGTTCAGCTCGGCTCCCCCGGCGAGCGGGGGCGGAGGCTCCCTCCCCCACTGCCCGGGCCCCGCTCACCTGTCCATTGTCCTGCCCCTGCAGCAGCTCCTTCCCCATGGGGTATTTAATCTCCACGCCTGGGGTCTTGTCGTCCCGGTCTCCCGGAGAGCTGATGACGGAGCCGGAGATCTCGCTGATGTCGCTGGCGGTCTCGCTGTAGTTGTCCCCTCCGTCCAGCATGTCGTGCCGGCTGCCGCTCCGCGGGGTCCGGGACCCCTTCTTCCCCACGCTATAGGCGTCGAAGTCGATGGTTTTGTTCTCGTAGGCCCCCTCTACGGAGGCGAACATCCCCCCGTATTTCTGCCGCGGTGTCTGGGCTGTCGTGCCCGGCCTAGCTAGATACACGGGCAGGTCATCTTCTTTATTCCAGTTCCTCTTTCTCTCGGCCATTCTCGCTGTCCGAATCGATCTCTCTCTCTCTCTCTCCCTGCCTCCCACTTCTCTGCACCTTCCACTACCGGGATAGGCTGTTAGTGACCATAAAAATGAATGGATGGATGCAGCAGTGGCGGAGCTGGGTTGGCTGGTGGGATCTTTCCCTTAAGGAGATGCAAACGTTAACCTCCCTCCCCCCTCCCACCCCCCCGGGAAAAAAAAAAGGGGGGGAGAAAAAAGAAAGAAAAATTAGAGAAAAAGAAAGAGAGAGAAATAAATCCGAGCGGAATTTAAAAATAGCCGTGTTAGTAAAGAGCACGTGAAAATAAAGTACAAAGAGCGGAGCGGAGAGGGTGGCAGAGGCAGGTGATTGGAAAGCCCCTGACGAATGGGAAGAGCAGCAGCGATTCCCCGAGCAGGGACCGCAGTGCACAGCTCCCCCGGTATAGAATGATCTGGGGGGCGGGAGGCAGGGGGAGGAGGCAGGGAGGGAGCCCGCTGCATGCACACACAGCCGGTGCCAATGGGGTCCCGTCCTGCGGGCGGGCGGGCGCCCGTCACCTGCTGATGGCGTGGCTTCGGGCGAGAGAAAAAAAAAAAAAAAGGAGGAAAAAAAAAAAAAGGGAAAAGCTACAAAAGCTACAAATCTTCCCCAGCCCCCCGAGAGAGCCGGAGGGAGTTTCTCCCACTTTGCACACTGACACTGCCCCCGCCTCCCTCCGCGGGAAAGGCTGCGGCGCTGCCCGGGCGGGGCGGGGGGAGCGCGGCCGCGGCAGCCCCCAGTGCGGGCAGGGGGCGGGACAGCTTTGATCGGCGGACGAAGAGGGAGCGGCGGGGAGAGGAGAGAGGGGTGTCCGGGGTCGGGGGTGGAAGCACCAGCAGCCCCGGGCAGCAGGGCTCGCGCTGTCCCTGCCGCAGCAGCTGCTGCCCGCAGGGGTGGTGGCGGCTCCGCTCCGCTCCGCCCCGGCTGCCGCTCCCCCGCTGCGGCGGCGTGGGCAGCGGGCAGCAGGGCGGAGGCAGCTGGGTGCAGGCAGCAGGGTGCAGGGTGCGGGGTGCAGGCAGCGGGCAGGGCGGCGGGTGCCGGCTCTGACACGGAAGTGATCGCGCCGAGCGCTGCCTGAGCTGCCGGCCCCGCCATCGGGCACGGGCCGCCCTGGGGCGGCGGCTCCGCGGGCCTGAGCGTGCGGCCCGCGGACCCAGAGCGGCCGGAGCGCCGCCCCGCCGAGCCCCGAGGGGCAGCGGGTGTCCTGTGGGGCACGGGGTGTCCGCCGAGCCCCTGTGGGGCAGGGGGTGTCCGCCGAGCCCCACGAAGGGCGGGGAGCCGGCCGTGGCTCCGCGACCCCCCCTCGTCGCGGCGGGAGCGCTGCGCGCCCCCCGGAGCTGTCCCTTCAGCACCCCGGGCGGCTCCTCGGGCCGGCCGCCCTCTCCGGCTCCTGCCTGGCTTTGGCCTCGGCTAAGAGAGGCAGCCCAGGGGAGGGCTTTCGTTTCGTTGTGAGTGATGCAAGTTCCCAAAAACTAGGAGAGTTTTTTTTAAAGCAGGAGGGGTGGAGAGCGTGTAACCCTCATCTCTCTGCGCAGCCCACTTCAGAAAGTCCATCTTTACACCCCTACCTGTCTTAGAGTGCCCAAGGAGATCATCAACCAAAATCACAAGTCCTTGGACACTCCTCTCCTGCACATGCAGCCAATCTCAGGCAATTGCCACAGCCTTAGACTACCCCAGTAGTTACATAAGGGACATTTTCTGTTTCTCTGAAATAATATATTGGAAGAAACTGTTCTGAGATTAATTACGTGACTAAGCAAATTTGAAGCTTAGTGGATCAATCACAAGGCCTATTTACTGCTCATGTACAACATGCTTACGCTGTTTGAATACAAGCCCAGCCACACAGCACTGTTGTCTGTGTACCTGGTGGTCCTAGCACGATAAGAATTGAAAGCTACAAATTAGGAAAAGTGGGAGGTTAAAGACAGAGGTCCCTGGGATTTCATCAGAAGTGAGTCCACATAACCATCTTTCTCTTTAACAAGTACCCGTGGACCAGACCGTGTGAAAAAGCAGTGATGGGAGATAGCTGGGCACTGAAAAAATGCATCAAAGGAAAACATCTTTCTTTTCTGCATTTGTTATAGTGCAAAGGTACATGCTGTCTTGAATGCCCTGTGCGTGCATTCAACACTGTCGAGTGTTGTTCACATGAGGGGAGTTAGGAAATCAGTAAAAATTTTATTTATTATTGGTTATTAACACACTGATTTTAATCATGGCTGACATTTCTGACCATATATTGCCCAAGATTCCACAGCTCACTTAATAAAACATACTTCCACATTAACACATTAATATCATATGGAAGTTTCACTGGTGTGTGAGAAAATAAGTATAGCTTGTAGGACATTGCAGTGTTACTTCCTTAAAATCTTCTCTTGTATGTGGACAAATATTGATTTTTTTTGTTCCTGATGGTAACGCTGAGATTTATTGATCATTCTGGAAAAAAAAGAAAGTCAATTTATTCCTCCACAGGACACCAAACCCTGACAGTTAGTGAAATATGCGGGTGGCACATGGAGTGTGATCTGCCTGTCTTCACAAATATTGGAAAAATTATTTATTTTATGAGTTATTTCTTTGCAATCAAGAGATTCCTTTGAACTTCCAGAATAAAAACTTCTCATGGTCCCATAGTAGGTCCTGTATGTTGCACATAGTACATGTGTCTACTAAATAAAGAGCATCTTATATTTAACATCCATAGAAGCTAAGAAAGATGGACTCTGTTTACACTTGGGATCTATTTAGATAACATTGTTCAGGTTTCTAAAACTGCTCAAGTTTTTCTGAATAAAAAAGAATAATGCTATTTTTGCAGTATTAAGTTAGGACATTCATCTTACTGCTGATACATAAGGAGACCATAAGACTCACAGAGCATGTCAAATCAATGCTTAAGAAAACAGCATTAAACTTTCTAGTTACAAGTAAGCATAAAATTGTACCAGAGTCTTTCTTTGCTTTTAAATGGTTGCTTATTTGGTTGGTTTGGGATATTTTTTAGTTTGTGGTTGTTGGTTGTTGGTTTTGGTGGGTTTTTTTTGTAGCCCTTAGTTGGTTAAAAACTAAGTATTCTAAGACACCAGATGCATACTGTCCTTAAGTTCAGTAAAATGCAGTTTTAGGTACTACGGAAGCAGACTCAGTTACATCCTGACACCCTGTGAGTTTGCCTTAAAAAAGTATGCAATTTCGGAGGAATACATTGCTTTGGTATATTCTCTTGCAGACAGTGCATCCCATCCTATCTTGACCTTGCTTGATGAAAAGAGGACTGAACTTGATTGAAAGTGCACCCTCTTCCTAAAGGACCTTTATTCCAAATAGCCTAGATGAGAGAGAGCAAAAAAACTAGAGACATGCTTGCTTCACACAACAAAAAATGTCACATACTGGCTTGGCTTTAGTTGTAACAACAGTGTGAATATCACGAGCTAGAACAGGACTTGCCTGATGCAGGGACTCAGGGAATATGCAATGTACATTTTGCACCTATTTTTGCTGTTCTGCATTTTGCAACAGAATCAACAGACAAAAAGCCGTGAACAGTTCAAAGAGAGTGAGTGTGATAGAGACCAAAGTTCTCGTTCTGCCAGAAGAGTGACTTGAGCCACCAAGTCACTGAGTCAGTCTCCCTCTCTCCTCTGTGTGACTCGTGTATCTCTGCCAGCTGTGTCGCCCTCCCCCACAAAACCCTGTCCCATGGATTGGTGATTAGGACTGTCTCTTGGCATATAGGAACTGTGGATACAAAACACTACAAGCCAGAGAAGGCTACAGTTACTGACTTTCTGAGCACTGGTCCAGTTCATACTTTTCTGCTAATTCATATTCATTCCATTAAATCAGCTGAAGTTGAATGGCAGCTCATCCACCAAGTGGAGCAAGATGCCAGGTGTTCCAGTTTTCTTACCCTGTTAGAAGACCAGCTGACCCCTTTCTCAAAACTGAGAATTCCTGGGTTGCTATCCATGGATACAGTTGTATTTACAGCTGTATCTCAGAAGCTCTTGTCACTATTTAAAAATAATAACAAAATAATGAAATTATGACGTTTTTAATTTAAAATATGCATACATTTATTATACAAAATTATACAAATTGTACATTTGACTAACATAGAAAAATACATCTTGTTAACAAGATAAAATGTCAACGTATCTTACATAATTTAAGTGAGAGTTACAAATCTGTGATAATCATCAAGTAGACTTTGTGACTTCATTACAATTCTGTGTTGTCCCTACTTACAATGAAAATTAATACATATGTACAGTTGATATTAATGACAAATGTCTTAGAGTGGAAAACTTTGCTGAAAAGTTACCCAGAAGGTTTTAATGGAACAGTTAAACTATGAGTGGCCTGTCTCATACTCTTGAAGCTTCTCACTTAGCTGAAATAATTTGACACCCAGTTACAGAGTCGTCATGGGTCAGAGTTTAAATTTTTTGCATTTATTTACAAACACCCCTCTCGCCCCAGTCTAGCTGGTATACCTGCTTAATAAGTATCACACCATAAACCTCAACCTTTTTATGCATTCTTTGGTACCTCTTTTTGGCCCTAAAATATGAAATTTTGGCCCTAAAAACTGATTTTCATGACTTCTGGTTACCACCCCTCTGCTGGCTTTGCAGAGTTAAATAGTTGTACAGCACTAGAGCTCGAAAGGCAAGAACTCCGTACATTATTCAACCCAGATTACTCCTTAATACCTCACGAGGTGGGGAAATATTTTTGTTTCAGTCAACAAATGTGTGCAGTAAGTCTTCACTTCTTATTTGATTTACACTGTTTCCTTTTCCAAGTTCCAAACAAAAGGCAGAAGTGTAATTTATAAATGAGCTATAAAAATCTGTTCCATGCTGGGCCTTGTCTTACATACTGCGAGCCATGTAATGATTTTCTTTAAACTATTTACATATTCTTTAAAACTTGTTTGTCATCCCAGGGAGCAAAACAGAAGACCACCACCAGTCTGATTTTCAGGCCTTCATTTTTTTTCATTCTGTTTTTTTTGTTGGTTTTTTTTTGGTTGTTTTTTTTTTTTTTTTTTTTAGCAAATTGCTCTTAATTCCTTGAAGATAAAAATTCACTCATGAGCTAAAAGCTTATTCAGTTTTTCCTAAGAGCTGCTTAGGACCATCAGTGAGTACATGAATTGCCTCATACAGGCTTTTTTGGCACAGGAGTGGTTTTCATCGGTTAGCTACATTTTCCCTCTTTTTCAAAAAGACCAGAGTTCAGAGAGTAGAGAAATGTAGTTGCTTGGCATCGGTTAGTGCACACTGCACAGTAACCTCTCGCACTGGAATTTACATTTGCATATTCATATTCCCATAGCAAGAGTCTATGTTACACAGAGAAACAACAGTGAACAGAGATTTATACCATAGATCCAAACAACTCCAAATCAAGGCAGATCTCCACAACTACTAATCTCTCTTTTCCTCCAATATGTGCATAAACTGTGTTAAAGAGAGCATGATGCCCATGTGTCTATCACATGTGAGAATTTCTTAAGCCAAGTAGAAGCAAGCATGAAATATTGGTTGGTCCCAGGGAAGCCAGTGGAAATTTGCCAGTCACTTTAGTAATACAAGTATTTAATCTAGTATATTTAAACTTTCTCCTTTTCTTTTTTTTTTTTTCTTTTTCCTGGCTTTAACTGCAACTTGCAACTTTCCTAGTATTCATGGATCTCAACAGTAGAATTTAAGTAAGCTGTATTTTTAATTCACATCCTATATAAGAAACAGTATGCTCTCTTTCCTAACATTTGTACAGGGGCAAGAAGTCCTGTCCATAATCCCATGTCTACTGATTTCTAATGCAAATATATTTGGAGCCAAAGGCACAATATATTTTAAAGGAATTCTGCTTAAGCAAGAAAGAGGTTTGAACAAGTTTCTGTAATCCTAAGGTCTGTTCCCCCTTTGCCTCCTTAAGGCACTAAAGGATTTCCAAAGGATTAGTGGCAAAACCCAGCATGCACATGTCCCTCCCTCCACCCCACAACAACAGTAAATTCAAATACTAAAACCCTTCATCTGCATGTGAGAAATACAGGCAGATTTATGAAACACAAATCAGACTTTCCACTATTCAAAAGGCCACAAGGACAAACATCAGCCATGCCTTAGCAGGAGGTTTATCCTAGAAACTCTGCCGTGTATATGAAATATATCCCAGCAACTGTATTATTCTGAATGTAACATGATTATCATGCTGGAGGCAATCATTTTACTTTCAGCATTTGCCATCTACAGAGGTGTGAAGAACAGAATTTGGGATTTAAAGGTTGCGTAAAGAGCAACCTGTAAGCTATATTTTCAATATCCTCCAGCGGTCTCTACAGTACAGTATACATAAGTGAACTGCCAAAGAAATCATATTTTCCATGTAACACTGCCTATTTTGTCTATTTAGGGTGACAGAAGAAGATCGTATTTACTTAGAAAGAACTTTGCAGCATCTTAATTTTGACTAAAGAATTTGGTCAAAGCAGTACTGTGCATATAAAGCAATCAGAGCAAAGTGCCCAATTTCGCATTCTGTGAAAGTTTAACACAAAATGACAATACATGTTATGCATCCTGGCACCTTTACCATAGACAGCACATTAAACAAGTTAACTTCTGCTTAGTGAAAGAAAGTTAGACTCTATAACAAATAGACAACACTTTTCACTGTAAGGCAACTAGAAAATAATAGCTAGGCTCTCCAGCAATCTCACATTGAAAGTTTACTGCTTTCTTGCAGTGATTTGAGGTAAAGTTGGGATTTTAATTCCCAACCCTCAGCCACATGAAATGCACCACTGGTCTACCAATTTAATTAATAAACAGACTTTTCCAATATCAGTGAGACATTTTTCGTATTAGGAGGTGGTAGAATTTCAAGGACATCAATGTGGTACCAACCATAAAGAATAAAGTGTGTTCTACATTACTTATGCTAATTTTTCTAAAATGAAACCAAAAGGCAGAAAGCCTAAGATGTTACAAAATGGACAGCTTCTTTATCAACATTTATAATTTATGGTAGGAGATTATGCATAAATACTAGGAAAGAGGCATGATATTTAAGTTCAACACTTAACTCAGAAGGAAAAAGTAGGGTTTAATTGCCTGAGTATTGTAGAAATTATTTTCAGGTGGATAGTATGCAAATGGATAGAAACCTACACATATGTCATTGCTTTATTTTAGGAACCTGTATTTAAGCTTCAAGTGTTACCATGACAACTTGTTATCTTGTTAGTAATCGTAATCTAGAAATGCACATTACATTAATCTGATTTGGGATTCCATGGTTTATTATTCTTCTGCTTCCTTTCAAAGGATATTTGTAATTGATGGGCAACTAAGCATTGTGAAGACAGCCCATCCTAGCAGTTAGCTCAACATTAAAAAAAATAAAAATGGAAATACAAGTTGTAAAACAGTTGAAAGTGCATCACAACGTAAGAGGCAGTTTGAGAGCAGTATCCATGGCTGCTGCTGCTCAGGTCAGCATGAGCATTGCCACTGACTTAGAAATGTGTGCCTTTAGTTACAGAATTAATAGATGTACACATACAACCTCTTATCCACAAGTCTTGTGCCTGCATCCACATCTCCCTGCCATCCCAAATGGTACTCAGAGGTGAACAGTAGGGGTTATGGGTGTGTAATCTGTAGTGTGCATTTCGATTGCAAAATGTGTTTGCACCATGTGTCCTATTACCAGCCAGTGTGCACAAACCAAACCCACCTATTTCAGGAAAAGCATGTATGCCTGCAAATGCCTCTTCTGAAAGTTGAATTCAGTGTGGCCTATTCATGCAGTTGAAATACTCAGAGTATTAGAACACAGCACTTTGATGTTCCAAGTGCTTCTCAGTGCATGTGAAGTACATTCCCAATTCCTACTTACCCTTGTAAAAATGCCATTCTGTCTCATTTGCTAAACAGTTTGTACCCTCAAGTACTGCGTCCTCAGAAATACTAAACATCCCAACTCAGATCAAAGGCTCTTTCAGGAATGCTTAAAGCCATACCAGGCTGAAGATATTACATGCCCATGCAGGCAGACCCATGAGCACAGAGATTGTGCTTAACTTGGTAATTGCTTTAAAATGCAAATGCTGAGATCCCAAGAAAACAAAATGACACTCAGTCTCAAACCATGCATTGGGTTGGCCCACATGGCCAGCTTCCACTACAGGAGCTGGCTAAAACATCGCAGATGGTAAATTCAGGGCAACTTCTCATTTTTTCATATAACGAAGCATCTGCAGGCACCACCAGGGCAAAGCACATTTCATCAGTCCTTCAGAGCTCTACTGCTTCTTCTGTGTGACTGATACATTCTTTCCTGGACAAGAGGAAGGAGGGGAAAGAAAAAAAAAGGAAGGAAAAAAAAAACAAAAGCATAAGATAAGTATCTGGATTTTCACAATTTAAGGATTTGCTCGTTATTCATTCAAGGTCAAAATGAAGCATTTGGGAAGCACTGTGCCTAGGTGCTTCCACACAAACAGTATATTGGCATCACATTGTAGAAACTGAACTGTCCAAAACATATTGAGACATTCTCCCATGATTTACTAATTTAAGATGAAAAGTAAAGTACATTCCCTACTTTTCCCTTTTGCTACTCCTTCTTGTACACAAGACAAACATCCATTTGTCAATATGGAAATAAACACTCTCTGCCATTTTCCTAACACTATTCCATAACCCCCTTGGCAGGGATTTACAGAAGTAGTCTCTTGGATAAAGATCAATCCAGGAATGAAAGCCATCATAAATCCAACTTTCCAAGTCCTATTTCTATAAGTTTTCTCAGACAAATATACATAATTTGAATCCTTCCTCAGATATTAGGTTTCAAAGCCTGCAAAATATTATATTAGGCTGTCACTATTACTGTTAAATATCACCAGTGATGCACTGTGTGCATATGCAACTCTGGCTGAAACTTGATATCTACTGGAGGAACATACATCTTAGTATATCAGGAATATGAGAAATGATAATAACATACAGAATTAAAAAAAATATATTGTAATTATTATTATAATAACTGACTGGTGATAGTAACTAAATGTCATTACTAAAACATGTCCCATTCACCATGCCCCTCAAAACAGAAAAATTAAAAACTGCAAAAGAAGAGAGCTTTTATATGGCTTGTACTTCAGGATGGAAAGGTTTTTCCAGGCATAATTAACAGAAATTAAAAAAGCCCTGCAGAGTGGGGCAAAGTAATAAATGGGAGGTCATTGTTTTTGGAGAAGCAGCTAGAAGAGGTTATTGTAGGACACAAAACCAGTGAGATATGCAAAAGTCAGTCACTGAGCAAGGAGAATGCCAGCTGGGCAGGAGAACATCAAGGAGTCCTACTGATGAGAGGCATTTAGAGCCGTTACAGATCTTCTAGTTCAAATTTCTGTCTTGGATCAGAAGGTGGTAATGTTCAGACTTGCTTCTGATTCAAAACAACACCAGAAGCTTTCTGCAACCTTCGTAATGCACTATATATTTTTTCTGCCTCTGCTGTAGATGGATCCAAACAGATGGATAATGTAGATGGGTCTAATAAAACTCCAGACTGTACTGCAAACAAAGAAAGAAAGTCCATGGCAGTTCACTCTTATCTCCAGGCAGAGAAAGGGAACACTACTAGAGCCTCATCTTCTTTTTAATTAATGTCTTTGTAGTCCAAGTGCAATCAAAACAACATCCAACAGAACACACTTTCAGCCTTTGCTATTCACGTCTTCCAAGGATTTTTCAGGACATCAGGTACTTCTCCATGCATAATTAATATTACAGAGAGAAATACAACTTAGTAACAGCAAGAGCTGGTTTTGTATTTGGGATGGTCTGAAATACATTCCTGTCTCTCCTTCTAGTCATAGTCTCTTGTCTGTGATCCCATCACTGTACCTAGGCACTGGAGAAGATCAGAAGGGTGAGTCTCTAGGTCCTCCTAAAATGTAGCCTTATTTTGGAAGATAGAGGCTGCAATTTTAGTTCTTCAGTTGCTTGCGCAGGAGATACCCATTGTTGCCAGTTGTCAGTTTACTGACTTGTTCAAAGGCCAGAATGTCCCTAAAGTATCAGGTGCAAAAACTGGTGTGGCCAGAATAATGGAAATCTGATTCAAATTGCATTCATTTAATGATCTTATGGGGTTTTTGCACTTTAGTGATCACATCTTTTATTAACCACCAATTTGAATTTAAAGTAAGTTCTCCAATTTTCCAAAATTTAGGATAAAGAATATTTACCAAACATGCACTGCTAGACTATGAAACATTTACAAATTTAAAAGTCAATATTTGCATAATATTTCCTTCACTTTTTATTATTATTTTTTCTTGAAATGTTAGCTGCCAATTCTATTTCCTTTCTTGTTTTGTCAGACTCTTCACTTTCACATTCTTTTCATCCTCTTTGTCTGACCTTGCTCCTTCCTGCATGATATTATTCATCCCTCCTTTTATTCTCCACCTGAAGCCTTTATGAAACCTTGTGCTCCTTGCAGTCTTATTTCCCTGACATATTTATCCTCCACCCTTGTCTTACTCTTTTTCTTCATAACACATATCTATCTAAGCAGTATGGTACCATAAACATAAACCACTAATGAATTGCTTTGTAATTACTCTGGTCAGAGAGGAAGACTGTGTTGTAACATGCTTGAGAAAAAAAAGAAAGGTCTTCATGATGTCACTTTACAAAAGAAAAATATCGAACAAGCATTTCCAGAGCTTAAACACAAAGCTTCAGTTTCCAACCATGCATCTCAGTAATTAAAAACCAGCTGAGTCTTTATCAATAATGGACCTAAAAGTTTCAACAGGGGTATTTCTGATGCTCAGAAATTTGTTGTCCTCCTATTCTTTGGTAGGGCTAAAGCACATGGTTGAGCAATGATGCAGGGGCTGGGCTTGAGCTCCTTTACATCACAAGAAAAATTAATTTCAGTCACCAATACAAAGAACTGCTAATGTAGAAGGTCATTAAATAAAACTGACTTGTCTGTGACATTGGAACCTTAAAGGAAACCTTGCAACATAAAAGTGATGACTATGCACTGCTCTCTAAGCCAGAACCGAATCATTTCCAGCATAACAAAGATCAGTGATCCATATTCATGCACTCACTTGATGTTCTCCAATTTTTACCACCCCTCTGAGCCACCAGCATTTTTTTTCTAGCTGTTCCCAGTCCTTCACCTCTGTACTTGTTCACCCTGTGCTAAGTATCAGGAAACTGTAAGATCAGAGAAAAGAACCTCAGATCAACCTACTCACAGCACAGTCAGTGCCAGTGTTGGACCTGTTTGCTCAGAATTTACTTAGTCAAATCTTGAAAACCTTCTGGGAGAATGCACAGCCTCCCTGGTCAGCCTGTCCCACTGCTGTACTGTTCTCATGAGGTAAATACTTTTCCTATATCCACTCTGAACTTCCCTTTTTTATCTTATGCCCACTGTGTCTCACCTCTCACCATGCCCCACTGTGAGGAGCCTGGCTCCATCTGCTGTATGATTCTGTGATTCTCAGTTGCTTTCTCACAGATTCAGGAAGGCTGAACCCACATAGGTGCCTTGGCCTCTCCTCACAGGGCAAGTGCTCTACTCCCTCAGGTATCTAAACTACCACTTTTAACGAAGCTCAGCTAGTTCAGAGACAGATGATACAAAGAATACAAAGTTAAAAATACTACTGACTGCTCTGCATAAGCTCATCCCCCTCAGCTCATCCTGGTGGAACAGAACTAGTGCTGACCATGCACCTCCTCCTAAAGACAACTGTCCTGTTTGACTCCTCAGCTCCAGTTAATTCCCTGGAGAGCAGAAGTCTGTGCCTACTGCTAGCATCTGTGGTCTTCATCCCTTGGAAAGCATAGGGTAGATGGAAGCCATCTTCCTCCCCTTCAGAACAGCAGTAAAAGCTTTGCAAAAACTTTCAAAGTGCACACTAAAGTTGGAAAGGAATGAGCCAATATAGAGACTTCTAAGACAAACAACATTGGGGCTGGAATGACAAAAACTAAGAGTTGCAGGATGGTACATACATTCCCAGAATTTTTATGCATTCTTTGGTACCTCTTTTTGGCCCTAAAATATGAATTTGTGGCCCTGAAAACTGATCTTCATGACTTCTGGTTACCACCCCTCTGCTGGCTTTGCAGAGTTAAATAGTTGTACAGCACTAGAGCTCAAAAGGATAGTACATACATTCCCAGAATTTCTATGGCATCTTCAGAGAGTGCCTGTGCTCATTTTTAGAATCATTTAGATTGGAAAAGACTTTTCAAGTCACTGAGTCCAATTGGAATGAACGCACGCAGAGGATCATCTGAAAGAAGACATGAAATATGGTGATATCACTGTAAAACCATATTTAAATAATGTCTGATATCTGGGGTGAGTTTAGGTGGTGGGCCATCATGCACTTCCAACTGCTCCAGTCTGACATGAGAATAATATCAGTTGATGCCTACTGGAAACACTGCCTCAGTATGTAACACAGCATCAAAGATCTGAAGTCACCAGTACACAGCAGCTGCTCAGTGCCTCAGCTCTAATGTGCAGGGCTAGAAACACTATTTCCATTGGTTTGTATCACTAGAGGTATTTAAAATAAAGAAATTGCAAAATTTCAGGGATGAATAAAATTTCTTTATATTCAGCAAAGGAATTAATATTTTTGCTATTGTGAACAAATATTTGAAGAAGATACTATGCAACATGAGTTTTTATCATTTCTATTAATTACAAAAAAATCAATGTATCTGTGGCACACACATACTTTAATAGAAAATTATCTACCATAAATTGTTTAATGTGTGTTTTTTGTGCCTTATTTTAAAATATAAACATCTCCATTTAGAAAACTTTTTATTACCTGGGAATAGAAAAACTGGCAAAAAAGCAACTGATTACAAGTAAGGCAATGTTGCAAACCTGAATTGTACCATAATACACATGATATCCCTTTGCTGCTTGGTAAAGAAATGCTGTATAATCGATCTTTGCAAAAACATTTGATTTCTGTGTTTAGGAGAAAAAAAGAAAATCAAATAGTATTCAATGTAGTCTTCTCATTCACAAATTGCTGCTTCTAAAATTCATTTTTATTTGATGGATTCACATTAGAACTCAAGAGTTGTGAATCTCATTAAACTCTGAATAAAGACATATTGATCCCAATTATAACCAAAGGCCAACAGAGCTTGCCTATAACTCAGAGGAAAAGAATTGCATCCAAGGAAAGAAAAACCAACAACCAGCTAACCAACCACGAACGTTGAAAGCCACAAATAAATTATATTCTCTTAGAATGTTAGAAAATGAAATAATGTATTTCTGCATTTTTGTGCTTCATAACGGTATTGAATACTAAACAGTGTTACATTTATAGATCTGATTCAACATCACTGCTCTGGCTTTATGCCAGTTTCTTTCTTATGAAACTAATGGTGTAAGTAATGGTGTAAATCTGGAAAAATGAATTAATGAATGATAAATGAGGTTTGTCTTACTCAAACTCTATACAAAATAAATTATTTTCAGTAACAGTAGAATATGGTCAATATACAACATACAAGCAGTGCTGCTATTTAATGTTACAAAGCTCTTCAGAAAAATGGCAGACACACACAGAGACACTCATTTTCACACTGCTTAGAGAAGAACAGCTTAGGAGTCTTAATTAGGGTTGGTAACCACAGCGAAGAGGAGTTGAAATGTGAATCTTATAAATGTGCATGGACAGTTGAACTCACTGCCATGCTGAATATCATTCTGGAAGTTAATTTCTTCTGTTAATGGCCTATCAATGTATATATAATATATTTGCTTTCAAAAGTGTCTTCTAGAACAATATCCTTGCAATCCTTTGCAGCTCTGAGATGCAAATGCTTGCAGAAGAATCCCGATGTCTAACCTCCTGCTCATCAAATATCCCACAACTTTGCAGACAGGCAGCAGTAACTTACACACTTAGGAGATCAATTGCTAACCCAAAATCTTGAACATGCAGCCAAAGCTAGCCAGCTTGCCAAGAGGCTTAGATGCTAATATGAGGCAGTTCAAGAATTTAAAATGAAAAACTATGAAACCTTGAAGACTGATCACAGATTGTTGGAACACACACACACAAAAAGGAAAAACCAGCTGGATTTTTTTTTTTCTTTTTAACGATGGAGTTCACCCAGTGCTAATCCTAATTAAAGAGTGGACCTAGTCCAATTTAAAATAAGAAACAATTAAAACACCCTTGTATTCAAAGGATATTCCACGACTCCATTTACTTTGTCGATTCGATTTTCATGTAATGGCGCTGCCTCTTTTATACACCCCAGAGCTTTTATTAGCCTTGAAAATCTAACAGCACTTATTAAATACAGGCGCTTTTTTTGTAGTAAATTATGCACATGAACTTAGTGTTATTTACATTTTTCCCATTAAGACAATCATAATGGATTTAAAGGCTAATGCAAATGAGTTAACGTCATACTGTAGAGACAGTAACAGCATGACACGTCCAAATATGATGGTAGAGTGATACCTTCTATATAGCAGGCACACTGATTTCGAGAAACATCTCAAAACAATAATGCAATGCAGGACAACGAAAAAGCAAATTCTAGAAGGATTATCTGGTCAAGTCAAAAATGGAGACAATCCTCATCATGTGCATGTTTTGCTGACGTGAGTTAAAGAAATGAGCATTATCCAAAAATTACCAACAGTAAGAGATGGTAACAACAACTCACAACAAATACTTCACATCTAATGTCATTCACTTAGTGCTTTAGCACCATAGTGAATCCAGTTACAACTGGGATATACAGTGTTTCTTCTGGTGCTGAATATCCAACAGACAGGTTGAATCCCAAGAGTCCCACAGCTCCCCTCCCTCCACAAAAAAAAAACCCCAAGCAATAGAAGCACATTCAACTTGATTATTTCCAAGTCCTTTCCCTTGTAGTTTCTCAGAAAGGCACCCTTAACATAGAAATCTTCATGACTAGATTCTGCTGGTACTGTGTAATGTCATTCTCGCAGAGTAGTTGTAGAACACCACTGGAACAGATACATTTGCAATTGGTAACAGCCACGAATCTTGTAAAAACGTGCTTCATGTCAAGGTGGTAAGCACAACCATGAAAATCCAAAAGACCTGCTGGGATTGAAGAGCCCAACTTGTGAGCAGGACAAAACAAGCCCTTGGAAGTAGAGGCTGTTTGAGCCCTTCAGTCTCTGGAGCATGCTGTCTCCTTACTAGGTGGCCTTCCCAGGCAGTCCTATTCACATTTGCATGGATAACAGCTGCCCAGAAGACTGAGGGTTGTACTCATCTAAGGCACAGCAACCTTGGGGCCAGACAGGCTTTGTCCTGTGAACAGCAGTGATGCCTGCAAATGAAGACCTGCCCACTGTCCTTCAGGGATTTTAATGATCTGAAAAGCATTACAAATGTCCTACAGAAAACCATTCATTTAAATTATTTGACTGAGGGAGAGTCACAGGCAGGTTTTTTTTTTTAAAGTCAAGGTCCTTAAGGATGGCTCACTCAATATGAGACAAAATTTTATGACTCACAGGAGACTGGAAAAATCAGCAGCAACGCTGCATATTTAGAGTTTAATGTTTAGTCATCAAAGACACTTCCAGAGTTATTGCCTCCTCCTTAGACACATTTTTTTTTAATTGCTACAACAGACCTGCGTCATTAACAAAGAAAAATCTTCCCCTAAAATGCACAGTCATACAAGTAACTGATCAGAAGGTTTGCCTTGCTGTTGTCAGCCTAAGAAAAATGAGTAAGTGAATTCACATTTCAGCAAAGCATTTTCTATCCCACTACCTCTCCAACCATGCAGTAAAAAATGATGCATGCACATCCAGTGCAGATACAGCAGCATCTGACAAAGAGGATTTCTAGATGCTCTGCACCCCATAGCAAAAGCTTAGGAAGACAGGAGCACACAAATATTTGAGCATTTCTGTTTTGCTTTGTTTTCCTTGCCTGACCTTTACAAAGTTCTGTTAAATACCAGAATAAGTGCCAGAGTAGGTCAGGTTTTATATTTTTTAAAGTAGTAATTAAAGTGGTATCTTTACAAGTCTATAAGCAAATCATGGGCTTTCTGTTCCCAGATCAACCCACTGCAGATTTGTGTATCAGCCTGCACAGCCCTGTCTGCAGAGACAGAGGATGGACAGCTGTGGTCAAAGGAGCATCAGGGTGATGGTACCTTTGAACACCCCATGGCAGAGCCAGGCAGTCAGCTTGTCACCTATAAAGCATCCAGACCAACAGTGAATCTTGCCCAGCCACAGTAATCTAAAACCTGCAGAGTTTTATAACTGCAACACATTGTTACTGCAACATATTTTAATGAACCACCAACAGTCAAAACCTAAATGGTTTCATCACAAATCAAACTACTTGAAAATTATTTAATAAGAGAAAAAAATTGCTATTCCCACTGACATTTACAGAGGCAAAGTAAGTTTCCCTGCTCCAGCTTTACCCCTGTGTTGGAGAATTCAGCATACAGCATATGACCTACATAGCAGGAAGTCAAACTTTGTTATAATCCTGTCCCCCTGAGCACTGAAAATTTGGAAATCAGACAAGATGAACGCAGTGGCCCAGATTCTGTCTGTCATTTGGGCAGTTTTGCATTGCATCATTAGTCCCAGTTCACCCTGCAGGGGCCACAGTCATGACAGTGAGCCGCAAGGCCTGTTGTATTATCATCCTCCAACTCTATGGATAGGCAAAGAGAGAGGATGTTCACCTTCTAGGGACCTGCAGCTGCTAAAACGTCACTCTGTAGCTGCAGGTGGTAAGTACAAATTACAGCAACCTTTAAGTTGCTATAACTTACATTAGCAATTGAATTTAAGTACATGCTTGAGACACGTGTGCCCAGACAATTCTCCTGTCCACACTAATATCTGGCCTAATATCTGTTCTCAGATGCAGACCTCAGGGTCAATCATAAAGCAAGCATGGGAAAAAGCACAGGCAACCCACATGTATTTCATCTACTTTTCCAGTATTATCATATTAGCCACTATGTCAGTAAAGAGTTGTCCTGGAATAACCATGTCCTCCAATACCTTTAGGACAACTGGGGTTTGTAGGCCATCTGACTACAGGCAAACTAGTGCTGTGTGAAGAGCTGCAGGTGACCCACATCCCAACTACAAAGATACTGGGATGGTGTAAATATTTCTGTGTCCTCTCTTCTGCATCACTGAGCTTTGCACCCATGATATCTAAAGCAAATTGATGCAGGACTTCCAGGATCAGGTGCTGACATGTTACAGTTTCTCTGT